CAAAACAAAAGCAAATTTACAGCTTTTAGTAAACAGAAGGGCATGTCAGCGGGTGAAGTTGTTTTTTCAGATATATAATAACCTCCTAAAAATAGATGGCTCAAAATACCTAAAGCCAAGAACATTTCACTCTCAGCGCTTACACCATTCGAAGATGGTAGCACCTATTAATGCTAGAATAAATGCATTCAAACAGTCTTTTTTTGTGCGTACAACTGAATTATGGAATAAACTTCCAAGTGAAATAGTAAATCTTGATTCTTTTTCCATTTTTTCAAATGCCTTAGATGCGGTTTTTGAGTGTTAAAATGTTCTACTTGCTGTGTTTTTGAATTGTATAAGGAGACGATGTTTTGTATTAAGTGATATTGCTTTGTTAGAAGTTAAGCTATTGTTATGGTTGTGTGCGCTAGAAGAAGAGTGTGTGCACACAAGTATTGTTGTTTTAATTTGTATCAGAGACAAATGTGCCAATATTTCTGTATCATCCACTCCTGCTTTGGCCCTAAAAGGGCTGGCAGTATTGATAAATAAAAAAATCTTGGCACGCGATATAAGCAGCAGGGATGTCCTGGTTTTTCGCTGCCGCAACGCAGTCAAACGCAGTCAAACGCGACTGTCTGAACCAGGCTTTAGAGGCGCAATGCCGAATCTTGGTTAGCGCCGAGCGATGGGCGTAAACACATCGGAGGCCACACATCCTCGCCGCTAGGCTCCCTTCTAGGCGACGCAGCCTACCGGCCTGTACCGGGAGCCACGCGCTCCTTTTTTTTGCATTTCATTTTTTTCCCCAATAGCACATGTTTTTTTTCCGTTTTTTTTTTTTTTCTGTTTTAGAGCTTTTTTTTCATTCTATTACTCGCCATCGCTCTAATTGCAACTGCGTTCAATCAGCTTTTGTGAGGCGAGCGTTCGCATTCATTCAAATGCTTGAGCGATACAAATGTAAAATGAATTATTAGAAAGAATAAAAAAACAAGGCACACCTTCAGAACAGAAAAAAAACGAGGCAAAGTGTACAACAGAAATCCTTACGAATATTTCTTCGTATTTATCGGCGAGTACTGGGAATGGTGCTCTTCCTTTTTGAATCGGCAGCCGGTTTATCATAAGCCATACTTTTTCTACTCGTGATGACAAAACAGCATTTATGTATTTATATTAGCTCAATAAAAATTACGTTTTTGCTTTATGGTCTTCATGGCCGTCATAAAGAACGCATTTTGTAGAAATTAATTTTGGAAACGAAATTAAAGTGGAGCAGCCGGTGGTATTTTTAAGCGTGCGTCAAACTACCCACGATCTTTAGCCTTCGCCTTTTCCCCTTGGAGAATCTATTTGTCTAGACCGCGAGGTCTTTGACGAAAGACCACGCAATAACTACAAGATAACCCTATAGTTTTCGTAAAATTCCTGAGCACGTCCAAGCTAACGAAAACAAATTTCTTGTTAAGACTAATATTCACCCCATTAACCTTAAATTACAGTATATCTCGCATTTCACTTTCAATATATTTGTCAGTCCTTAATTTTTAAATAAATATTACGCACTGGGGGCGATGGGGGGTGGGGTATTTTTTTGTAAGTAAAGGGTATTATGATAGGTATTACATGTTTTCTTACCTTTCCCATCTTGTTGATGCGTTGCGCGCAGAACAGCACATGTCTTGTTTGAGTTGATATACAGAAATTTATACAACGGCGGCTGAGGAGCTGGTTAAAATAAAAAGAATAACAATAATTATTAAATAGTGCATCAACCTAATAACTTTGAGTGGAGGTTTAGTCGAAGAAACGAGTAAACTGTATTTGGTTGCTCTGGGCTATTTGAACGCCACTGGAGTACATAAAACTAACAAATACAAATGGTAAACTGTTTATTATACACATTGTTTAGATCTTTAGATTGTGTCTACACTGAATGCTGTGACGCATGGCGTAGTTTAAGAGCGCAGCTTTTAGGCGCCCGTTTCCGGCTTGAGCGGCGTAGCCGCGCGTTGCACGCAACACGCATGCAAAGCTTTTATGCAAAACATTGCATGCAAGCGGCGTAACCGCACGTTGCATGAAAACCGCGCGTTGCATGCAACTTGAGTGTTGCATGCAACGCACATTCAACGTGCGCGCAAGACTTGCATGCAACGCGTTGCATGCAAGCGGCTTAACCGCGCGTTGCATGCAACGACGTAACCGCGCGTCGCATTATGGGTAATTTCCCATGTTGACGTCATGAGGGTTACCCTCGTGAGAGTTACGAGGGCTACTCTCACGAGGGTTACGGGGGTTACCCTCACGAAGATCACGACGGTTACCCTCACGAGGGTCACGAGCGTTACCCTCACGAGGGTTGCGAGGGTTAGTTACCTTCAAAAGGGTTGCCCTCACGAGGGTCACAAGGGTTACTCTCACGAGTGTCACGAGGGTTACCCTCACGCGGGTCACGAGGGTTATGAGAGTTACCCTCACGTAACCCCCCTGAGGTCACGTGACCCCTCCCTGAGGTCACGAGACCCCCCCCCCCCCCTTGAGGTCACGAAACCCCTCCTGAGGTCACGTGAGGTCACGTGACCCCACGTGACCCCAGGGTCACTCGTGACCTCCGGTCACGTGACCTGAGGTCACGAGACCCCCTCCCCCCTGAGGTCACGTGACCTCAGTATCCCTCAGTACCTTTCCATCCTCCTCCTCAAGAGCTGCGCTTTAATCCGGCGTTACTGGGAGTTCTAAACGGCTTTAATTTTTTCTCCTCTTCGTCTATCTAGAAACCTCTCACAGCGGAAAGCTAAAAATTCTAAAGACGGACATTTAATTGTACTCCACTGCCTCGTTTAAGACCGGCAGTTGGTCACAGTAACGCGTACACTAACTGACTTGAATTTGCTTAAGTTAATTTGTGAGGCATACAGTTTTTGAAAACATTTAAATTATGTTTGGCCTTTATGTGAATTGGGCGCGTTTTGCAACATCGACACTCCGCTAGCTCAAGGTACCTCAAGTAGTGCCAAACATATATTTAAACTCTTCCATGAAATTTCTTCATTGAAAGAAAAGAAAAAAATCAACCAATATACACTGTTGCCTGTGACAAAGAAACGTGAAGAGAGAATGACAAAATGTTCTGAAAGTGTGCTTCACAGTGGTCTTATTCTTATAACCTCTTCTACAGTAGCATGTCGTAGTGCTCTGAACGAGAAAATCCTCGAAGGTTAGAATCTATAGTTTGTCTCATCCTACGATGGACTAAAGGCCAAAGCCACGGGCCGCCAAGTCCAGTCACGTTCCACGCTATACTATGACACGCTTAACATTGATTAGGGGGGAGGGGGGGGGGGGACGAATAATGCTCGAATCCAAAAGCGCAGCATCATTTCTATAGCTTCGACGCTGCGAAGAGCCAATACGTCGTGGCTTTCTTTGCGATGTAAAATTGTGGAGTCACTGAGTGCTCTTCGATTCGAACCACTGTCCACCCGTCCCCTTATCAATGATCCGAGACGCAGGTACCGATTCGTGCATCGAAGCAAAATATCGCACAATTTCTAAGTGGCTCGTGATTGGATCTGGCGGTCCGTAGCTTTTGCCTTTAGTTTAGCCTAGGTTGAGACGAAGTATAGGATGAAACGCATTTCGCTTGACACTGTTTACAAGGTTTCCTATCATAATCGGCACTGAATAGATGTGTGCATGCGAAAACTTGAGTTGTCTTTGCCAAAAACGAGATGCAAACTCTTGCCAGTTGATTCAAGTAATATTCACTGGCAGCGTGAAGAACGCAGGGCACGGAGATTCCCGAGCAAATCGTTATCGCACCTCATCCAATCAGATTGCACCGTTAGGCTATAAAAAAAGCCGATCAACGAATCAGGAAGCAGGAAGCGGGCCCATAATGGTATACGACCTGCGTTTTTAAAGCCGCCATATACGAGAACGCACAAAGGGCAAGAACGAAAGAAAACACACTCCATAAACGATCCCTTTATAAAATTTGATAAATCAGTGTCGACTATTCTTTCGTCTCCGCTTACTTCGAGACGCAGCTGAAACGACCCACCTGACTGCTTACCTCGGAATCCACTTTCGCCACGCTTAGAAGACCCCACACCATCCGGTGCCATTCCTGCCTCGGCAACCACGTTGGGTTTCACTGTTGAGCAACGAAAATACCCAAAGTTACAGAAGCCTTTTCACAGACTCAACAGAACCAACCTCAACCGGCACGTACAACGACAAACCTGACTCTACACAACACGATCTTCGTCGCAGCTATGGTTCACAAGGCCCGGTTCTGTTATATGTTGTACCCAGTCATTTACGAACCGACATTCTACGTGTCCTGCATGACGATCCCACGGCTATACTTCGTTTCATCTTCCGTCCAGGCGCAGCCGACGCAACGAGCTAATGGGACAAATCAAATAGCGTCAAAAACGCAAATCATTGGGGATTCTTTGTTTACGATTGGTTACGTAATGATAGAACACGTACAGCAACATGACGAACACCATGATGGTCCATTTTGACGCTGTCTGATTGGTCCCATTAGCTCGTTGCGTCGTTGGCTGCGTCGGGCCTTAAGCTGAAGAGGTCCGGAACTCTAACAACCGGTAGAAGTTGTAATGTGGACAGTCAACAAAATGACGCGTCTTAAGTTTTCTTTCGATCTTATTAGTAGGATAGTCGTAATCTACGTCGTAAGTTCGACGTGGATGCGTAGACCCGCCCTTCATGGCGCGCCAAGGGCAGGAAATCGCGGGCATGGAGAGAAAAACTAACAAAAATGACGTCCCTTGTTCTCCACTAAGCTGGCTGGGGATGTCGACGATGAGGTCACGACGCGCTGGAAAGATAGCAGGCCGCAGAAAGAACCGTCGCATGTCTAGGGAAAATCGCTGCGCCTATTTTTCAAAACAAATGTTTACGGTTACTTCTGCTCCGCTAAAGTGCGATAACTGAATTCACCGGACAAAAAGCTATAGCAGTCAGCTCCTAACTCAATTTTTTTAAAAGTGCTTCAGCTTCCCTTTAGGTTGAAACAAAATTAAATTCAGCTTCGAACCCTTTCATAAAAAAAATAATAAACTCGTTTTGTTGCGAAAAATAAATATAATTCAGAAAGCCTGCTTTGTCTACTGATGCGTCGCTAACCCTTGCTTCGGGAGGTAACAATAAGTTTTTTTAGTAATGCGAAAGCATTAACTGTCCCATTTGGCCTATTGAAATTGAGACAACGTTCACATTGTTTGTGAATACTTACTTGAAAGGTTGAATAGAAGCGCATTATCCTCAGTGTGCGGCCCGGAGGTAAACGGATGAACTGTTATGTTCAAGCTGGATCTAGAATTTCGGAATAAGATATCTATGTCGTGTTTCCATTTTCAAAAATCCTAACAAAAGCTTCCGCTTACATTTCGCTTGAGCCGTTAAAGCGGTGCCGGAGAAGAGCCTGATACGTGCCGTTACGAAGCCCCGACGTAACGTTCACGGATACGCATTCACTTGGAGGTTGTGGGCTATATGTGCGATTCAACATGTGGTACGTGGAATTGCTGCACAGGAACTGCAAATACATATTAGAAGCTCACACACACGTAAAGATATTCTCGCTCACACCATCACGCATCATGCTTGCCAAATTGTTTTTTTTCATGCAGAACATCTTTATGAAAAAGCGTATATCCAACATCTGAGGGAAGCGTGCGTGCGCAGGCGATCTGGTAAAACGTATAATCTGAGACAAGGAAGGAAAAGAAATACACAAAAGAGATGGACAACACACAACGTCTCCGATACAACGTCTCGAAGACATTACGTGTTGGCTCTTGCTTTTACGTGTATTTCTTTGCCCTGCTTGTCTCTCTCGGGTTAAAGTTACTCCATATCCTGTCAAATAGCCATGATGTAGATTTTGAAGGCCCTCAGACCGAACGCTTTTAGAGTATCGGCAAATTAGTTTGTGATCCTGTCTCTGCGCTTGCTCCATACTTGCACTGGTTCGCTGATGCCGAGAAAGGCCTTTGATTGGAAGGCATGTATTGCTTCAGCGTATCAGCTCCTGACTAATAATATTTGTTCATTCCGCGTTAACAGTACATTCAAAGCAATGGGTACCCGTGCGCTCGCTCACGCTCAGGGCAATTCAAAGCTATACTTTCCACATTCTTCACTTTTCTTTAGTGAATATTTGTTGGTGGGTTATTGTCCGTTGGGAGACTATATGCAGTTAGTGTAAAACATTGAAGTTTGGCACTGAGCTGAACAAACAGAGCGCCGTCGGGTAATCAATATCAACTCCTCGACAGCCTTATAGGAAAATATGCGATAATTGTGCTTCTTATTGTTTGCCGCCTCTGTGCCTTCGAGGCAAAGCGCCGACCTACGGATGCACCGAAATGTGGCTAGTTCGAATCCCGACTGCGCTGCCCGCGATCTGACAGAAGCTTATCGCGGAGAAGGCGCCGTGCAAATTAGATTCGGCTGCACGTCAAAAGATTCCCAAGTAGCCGAAATTAATCCTCAGTCTTCAGCTGGGGTTTGCCAGGTGCTCTTCGTTTTTTGGCAAGTGAAACCCGCCGATTTTATTTTATTTGTGTTTGATTGTTCATACATACAGTGGCGAGCAATATGAGCTGGAATGCGCGAGGGGAAACCAAGCAGTACAGCTCATTCTGTCCAGTGGGCAGCGAGCCACGGGGCGGAATGGCAGCGGCGGTGTTCGCATTCGTGGAAACGCGCCCCCGTCCGCGGTATCTCCCTTCTCCACCGCGCTCCTAGCGTGCGCGCCAAGGAGGCGATTGCCGCAGTAACGTTCTCCTATGCGCCTGGGCCGCGAGGGCGAGCGCGTGTCTGATAACATGCACATCGCTCTCAAAAGTGATTGTCGGTATCATCCGCGTGGTGTCGGAGGCGGAGGAGGGAGATATCGTGCGGGGGTGCGTCTATGAATCTGAAGACAGCCGCTGCTGCTTCGGTGCTTGACTCGCTGCCTGCTAGACCGCGTGGGCTCTGCCTGGTCATCGCTGCAGCAGTCCACTTCATATAGCTGGGCACTGGACGTTAATGGGCGGGTATTTTTTTTTAAGAATTAAACACTATGGCTGGGAAATTGATCGATTCATTTAATGACTAATCAATTAATGGTTTAATCGCAATTAATCTTTTTTAATCTTTTAGCCCTTGCAAACATTATCACTGAGTTTAAATTGAGCTTCTAATGTACTTCACAGGAATACATTAGAAGCTCAATCGAAACTCATTTATAATTTTTGTCAGGGAATCGGTGAAATTTTGGCGAACCTAAAGAAATGAGTTCAAAGCTTTCGCTACGCAGACGTGGACGAATACACCTGTATGAAGGGCAAGCTTTGGGAAAACTTGTAGTCTTACGTAAACTATGGAGGCGACATTCCAGACAATCGCAGAATGTTACACGTGTCCCGCCCTCTTCAACGCCCTTCGAGTGTCCGTTTAGCGCAGCACAGACAATCGTGAACAATCAAGAGAGGCCACTCTTGCCGGGGAATATCAACGAGGCTCTTTGCCTTTTGTTACTGAAGTAATGATCTCTGAACGTCAGTGTCTTCGAATTGTTCTGAACTACACATAGAGGTTGATTCGAAATCCAAATTTGACATTGCGCCGTTTGTCACATACTCAACAATGGCACACAATGTTTTGTGCTTTTATTATCTATAAAACATGGAAATGAATGAGACCGGTTAATCTTTTTATTATTGGATTAAAAGGTGGCGCTTTATCGGGTTGAAAGTTTGATTCGACGCCCAGCCCTATTAAACTCTCAGATCATGCCTTTTGTCAGCGCCATATGAATAGAGAAGTAAAAACACCAATCTAGGTGATGTCTCAGTACTGTACGTAATTTCAAGGTTTAGTTTACTTTGGAACAAACTTTTGCCAAATTATGGTTTCTTTTTTTTATTTATGTCATTATGAATAACGCATCAATTCATCACCATTTTTTATTTGATAAAAAAACTTTGGTAAATATTGCAGATTGAGCGAGATTCCCATACAAACATCGTCAAGGATAATAACTCAAGAACCTTTGTTTGAAGCTTCCGGGCCCTGAGTAGAGCTCTCTGCATCTTAACACTGTTTCAACAATTTGAGTCTGCGTGTGTCCGATTGATCTGAAACCGGTTGTGACTGCTCAAAACACAATAAAACTCTTGCACCATCAATCTATCCGGTAGCCCAGGGACATCCACGATCTGCGTAAATATCTAGCAATCTTTAACCAATCACCGTGGGTTTAAAATAATTTTGCCAACGTTACAGGCAATCATTTCGCATCGATAGCGCGTAAATGTAATGTCCCAAAGGCTGCAAAAACCTTCGGTCAGTAGTTGTACGCAGATCGTAAGCGTTCATAGATTTCGGTAGTGTATCTTCTCCCGACGGAAGCGGTCACAAGCATATATGTCTAACACCAGGGCGTTTTAGTAACTGCTAGCATTACTATGTTCGTCTTTCCAGCATGAAATAAAAAAAAATGAATGCCTATTTGTTCAAGCTGAACACAGATTCATAAGCTTTAGATGCATGGCTGAAGAGGAGGAGGCAACTGATCAAAGAAGAGTTCAATAAATTATGAGAAAGACCACCGTTTCTTTCTGATCGTTTTATAGCTATAACAAAGAGGATAATCGTAAACAAAAGAGTCTTCGGAGCGCCACTTTAAATTAGTTATAATTGTAAAACCACATCACTGATATAACATGCCCCTACCTAAAGAAACAAAAATTCTAGTTCTTTCTAATTATGTTTCACAGTCATTCAATGTGGTTACAATACTAGGCCAGAACGCGGTTCTTCGCAAGAAATTCAAACAGTTTCTTACTCCGGTTGCGTGTTGGTGTTCAAAATTGTTCGGATCATCTTCGTAAGGCAGGTCGGTGGGGCTCACAGTGGATGAAAGCCCAAAATGCTGGCTGGTTCCCACGAGGAAGGTTGCTAGTGCAATTGAATAGAGATACATTTTGGTTTTCGAACGAAATTGGTATATCGCCGAGAATCTCAGCCTTTTATACGTTCTTAGAAACCTAAGCTACGTAAAAATGACAGACTAGAAAAAAAAGGAGACGAATAAAAAGAAAGCTAGACAACAGCTTTAATCCACACGGGAACTTTTGTTTTCATAACAATATCGTCAGGGGCACTGCTCGCTAGTGAACGTAGTTGTATTCCCAACGACGCATTAATGAAAACAAAATAATCTAAAAAATGCCTTTAATAAACGGATGTGAACATCCCCGATCCTGGGTTCAAAACGCTCCCACATTATAGCATTTTGTTTTGTACATTTTAAAGAACGTTGTGGCCAAAGGCGATAGTTCGCTGCATTCGGCGGCACGTGGAACGAAAGCGCAGGATGAACACCCCCGCCGTCGCCATTTTAAATGTCACTTTTCCCGTTTTCGACGCGTGTTAGATTTTACACATGCGTGCGTTTTCGTAATCGCGCCACTGTGCAGTGCGCGTTAAAACGACTGTGGTAGTGGCGCACTCAGCTGTTTATAATAACTTTTTTACGGAGGATAGACAATTAATCCTTTTCAGTCTCCCCCTCTGCCTGTTTTGATTAAAATGAGCATCGTGCATTCGCGCATATGTCTGTCCTTACCCCTCCGCGGTTCCAAAGCCATTGGCAGCGCACGTTCTTTTTTGTTTTCGTTTAGAAAAAAAGTGGGGGGGGGGGGGGGGGGAATATTTTAGATAGGACATGTGAGTCAGGCTGCATATTTTTTTTTTAAAATCTCTGTACATATAATATTGATTTATCTCTCATCTCTTTCGTATTTCTCTGCTGTTTAAACCATAAGACGAGATCTTTAAGCGGCAGTCTTTGCGTTGCAGCTATTATTCAAGTCTGCTCGACCTTTTTACATTTGAAGTTGCTTCTGTCCAGTTTTGTCAACGGCTGTCGTTCACAGATTGAATAGAAATTCCTCAGAATGATCGATATAAAATATATATACACACACACATATATATATCGAATTAAACGTTTTCCTATGTGAAAAATCACCTCGACGTGAATCTGCTGAGGTCAACCCTGCTCCCTCACAGCGTTGCTGCGATGAGGTATATTAACATGCTTTCCTAGAATTACTTCTCAGGCCTGGCTGAAATCTGAGCTCAAGTTTGTTGAGCTCACGTTTGTGCGCAAGTGTGGTTTTTAAGCATGACATATGCTCACGGACGGTTATGAAGAAATTCCTGGCAACAAACTAAACACGACTCTAAGGATATTTCCGTCGTAAAACAGAAAATTCTCAGAGTCAGGGCTGAAAACAAAGTAGTGCAAACTAGAAGTCGCATTCAGATCAAAAGTTTTTAGGAAATTAGCTACTGTCTTATAGACAAAAACAAACAGCTGAAACTTCTCAGCTTATTGCTCATGCTATGCGTGTGGTGAGGTATGGCTCAATGTGCGCCCATATTTTATTAAATCATTGGTCAGTCTGAAGATATTGCAGGTTCAGATACTCACTGCTATCATCGTTATACTAATTTCCCATTATTTCCGAATCATCAAGATATCCGCTGTGAAAATGGACAAACCTGCAGATCATTTTGGTGTGTGAAAATTGTGACATTTTTACCGTGCGGGGAAGGTTAATATGTGGGTATTGGACTTGGCGACTGAGTGCTGCGGAAGGACGATCTTCATTGTTTTATTCAAATTCCAAACTGTGAAAATGGACAAAACTGCAGATCATTTTGGTCTGTGAAAATTGTGACATTTTTGCCGTGCAGGGAAGGTTAATATCTGGGTATTGGAATTGGCGACTGAGTACTGCGCAAGGACGATTTTCATTGTTTTATTCAAATTCCAAACATAAAACATGCCGTGAAAGCAATTAGGAATGGCAAGGAAGTCGTAAGGAGAATCGACATCATAAGGTATACAGTAATTGGGAGACTTCCCTGATGTTTGTGAAAGGTCAAAATGGAGATTTGAAGATTTTAATCACTACGTCTAAAATTAATAAAGATAAACTCAAAGCCAACACTCTGTGCCTACATGCGCCGTAACAAATTATGCATTTGTTTTTGTACTTGCTGAAAGATGAAATTGCAAAGCAAGAACTGAAAATGTCTAAGGTTTTTGCAAAGCTGACCTCCACATATCCATGTTGAGGTGTTTCATAAGAGGAAAACGTTAATTCTGGTATATATTCATTTTATGTCGGCCGTCGTATTGAGACTACTAAATCTGGTGAACGTGGGTCATTGTTGTAACATGATGCAAGTTCGAGTGTAAGTACACTGGAGCATGCTAGGGGACTCAAATGCTAGCGACCACGTCAGGTATACCGTTTGTTGATATAATCAGGTTTTAAAAACCGCTAGAATTGAGTCGTTCCATTCTTCGGGAGGAAGAAAATATGACAAACCGAAAAACACAGGCAAGTTGAAAAATACTATATATATATGTATATCATATATTGTATCCCTAAATCTTTTAAAAACACTTTTCAACTGAATTCGACTTCTAGTTTGTCCTAATTTATTTAAATTCTGAGTGTTAGAATTATCTGTTATATACTCCGGAAATCTCTGTGGAGGCGTGTTTAGTCCGCCGCCAGGAAGTCCTTCCTTAGATCTGCCCTAAGGAAGTTTTTGAGATTGCATAAACTTGGTCACAACTCACTTTGCGGGTTTTAATCATCCTATAAATCCAGAAATCAAAACAAAGCACAGCCGATTTCTATATTAAAAAAGAAAAAAAAACAATCACAGACCTAATGCACTGAGGTCATCTCCGCCGATGGAAGGAGCATTGTTCTGGCAGCCAGTACGATATGTGACCAATAAAAAAGTTGACATTTCGTTGAGATTGCAAACGCTGTTATAAAAAAAAATGTGTATGCTTTTTTAGATGATAAAAGCAAATAAGAGTAGTCGAAAAATGTGAATTCTTCGCGGAGATGAAACATAATACTGCACCAATCGTCTCAAAAACGGCGCACAATGGTTTTTGTTTCCTTTTTGTTCTTGTCTTCCGCGGGAGTGACGTGTCCGGTTGTCAGCTCTCGAGCGCGAGCTCGCTGAGTTGAATCGTTGTCCGGGCTGTACGGGCAACGAGCCGTGCGCCATTTTGATATCAGTGCGCGGATCCTTCGCTCGCTAAAGGCTGACAGTGGTCCTGGTTTCGGAACTTGCTGCTTCCATCGTCGGAGATAACCTCAATTTGTTAAAACCTTTGATTGATTTATTAATAGGGAAATCGGCCGGGTATCATTATGATTTAGGCATTTCTAGGATGCTTAGAGCCTGCAGAATGAGTTATCGCCATATTTATACTCCGTTCACCCTTAAGCTGAGACCAGAAGCTCCGCCTTCGGTACGAGCTTTCTGCCCTTGCCAACACAAGTGTGAACGCGCAGGCACGCGCAGCCAAAGGGCTGAAGGCGGAGCTTTTAGTTCAGCTTAAGGCGGCTGTCCCACAGCGGCCATTTTGAACAAGCCATTAGTTGTAACACTAGATGGCGACACTCATCCGCGTGGCCAAAAAACTGGCTCGTGGGAGTGATGTTCCTCCTTTGCTCTTAATTTCCTTCTTTCTGCTGCTCGCCCGTCCACGTTCAGCGCTCAGCGAGTGCTCTCGCTGATGATATGTGGCAGCAAACGTGCCAGTTTTGCTAGCAGTGCACGCTTCGCCCTAAAGCGGAGCCCAGGTAGCTCATCTACCCGAGCGAGAGTGCCGAGCTGGGCATATTTTGTTCTTGATACTGGCTTTAATCCGCGCTGCAGAGTTGGGAAAGCGATATCATGAGGGGACCACAAGCCAGTAGCTATCGTTCTAACTATTCAAGAGTTAGAAACATATTCAATTAATCAGTGAAGAATGTTATGAAATGATAAAGAGCATATGTAAGACATGCCTTGTGAGGATTTCGTGGATTAAAAAGCTTTCGCTCGACATAAACGTTTAAATTCATTTTCGCTGTAAGTCAGAGCGCAGCCGACATAACAATTCAGAGAGGCCAACAAAGCAGAGCCAGAAAACTCTACATCACGGAGCTCGACGTCTTTTAGTGCGTTTGTAGTCAACGATTAAAGCAATCAAGCGCAAACCACGCACCATGGCCTTGCGCTTTTGGTTTGCGTGTTAGTGCTTGTGTCTTTCACTGCATTTTGATATATGATAAAACAAGCAATAGCAGACTCTTTCATCAAAACGGGTGTTCCGAGAAGCGCGTTCTACAACTCAGCATGTTGATGATAGTTTGATTAAACGTGATTACCAATTACCTGACCATATTAATAACCAGTCCAATATTGTTGACATAGTACACCAAAGTGGAAGAATCAGCATGTTCAAAGAAAGAGTAAAAGCGTATTTTTTAGCCCCAGTGACCTAAACTTCAAAATTGTGCCACGAGTGGTTAGCAGATTTCAGTGTTTTTGTTATAGTGCTTTTGATATTTTTAATCAATAATTAAGTCCATTGATAATTTTATGTTGAAAAATGTACAAATGTCTTTCATGTTTCTTTATATATATATTTTGTTTGAATGCAGCAGAGACGGAGGATTTTACGTTAACTCTGACAATGGATGTTAATGATTGTGATCTGAAAATTGTAATTGTGAGTGATTTTTATTTGAAACTTTTGATTATGTTGATATTAATTATTGTGATTACGACGCTTAGCGCATGTCAATTTGATTGTGCTTTGTAGACGCATTTTATGCTCACACATGGTCCTTCACACCGTTGACTGCTGCAAAAAAGGCGTTGATAGCCTCGTCCGAAGTCTTTTAACGCGAACAAATTATTTGCGTATACGAATGCGAAGGCATTCTTATACGTAGCGTATTCTTCCAAAGCCTGGGTAACCTCTGCGGAGGCTACCCAGGCTTGCTCTGCGGCCGGCCGCTGTGCAGAGCCCGGCCATTATCTCCATCTGGCCGGGGCGCTGCGCCATGGAGAGGGCTTCTCTGTGGGGTGGCGCTCCTTGAAACTGTG